TTGCGGGAAAGCATCGTTTGTGTTCTACCTAGGACAGGTCTGATAATATCATACGCAAGGGATTAAATTAGAAAACGTGGCGCGCTCGCGAGATTTCTCGGATTCCTCCCGACCGTCTCGCACGCGACAAACCTGCAATCGATGCATTTACATGTCCTACTTAAGTTATTTATCGTCGGCCTCGCAAGTGTCATAATTGTCGGTACGAACCAACGTTCGAATCCCCGCAAGAAACCCTCCGCGCGCCGTCGCGTTCCAAAATTACCGATTCACACCGAACTTCACGCGACTTGAGTCGCGGACAAGGAAAGAAAGCAAAGACAAGAAAAGTAAAAAAAAAAGAGAAACAAATGCGGAGATATTTTCGCAGATATAACTGGAGGCGCATAGATTTGTCGCCATTCCGCGGAATTGCGAAAGTTTAAGCGCACTCACCTCCCTGTCGTCGTCGTCGTCGTCGTTGTCGTCGTCGTCGTCGTTCGGCGTTTCGATAAGTTCGGTACACGCGCGATCTCCCGCGCTGCGTGAATCCGCGCGACACTCCAGTAGCGGATCTCTGTTCCGTCAGACGACGAAAAACGCGTAGACACGCACGCATACACGCACGCACGAAAGTAGGAAGAAGACAGGCACGCGCACGGAACCCGAAATGCGCTCCGTCTTTCGAACGCGCGCGCGGACTCGACGAGCGCGACAGCGAAGCGCCGTCCCGCAGATTGCCGCTTACCCGGCGGAGCGCGCGTTCTTTGCAACCTCCCCTCGAGAGACCGTGACACTCAAGATGGCGCCACCGTCCCCGTCTCGCCAGTCCTCACTCCTCAGGACGATACACTGTAAAGCCCGATCACCCGATGTTCACGATGTTAGAAGTTGGTCCGAGATCTCGGACAGAGAGAATTTAACAAATCACATTTGCACAATTTGATCACGTGACCATTGCGATTGGTCAATTCTTTCTTCAGATTTTGGACCGATTTCTAGCATCGTGGACACAAGGTTTTAGAAATGCTTCCTGTAAAGGAAACTCGTAGTTATGAACGAAATTAAAAGTAATGAATGATTTAACTGAAAATTAAGTTACAGTAGTTACTTAAATGTAATAAACGTATACATTAAATATCATGTACACAAATATATATACTTTTCAATTATAAATACATTAAATTTAATGTACTGTGAAATTAAATTTTAATTGTGTACTTAAAAGTATAATTAAATTTCATGAAATTTTGAACAGTGTAGAACGTACAGAAGCAACTAGATCTTGTTGTGACTTTATTAAATAAAATTGAATGAGATTCGATTTCATCAATGTAAGATTAATTTTAATCTTGGTTCAATTTTCTCTTTCATCTTTTTTTAATTCAAAAAAATTTTGTAATTCATAAAAATTATAAATAGTAATTTCAGTGAAATTAAAGTTAATCTTACATTGATGGAATTAGACCTTAGTATTCACGATATTAGAAATCGCTCTGAGATCTCAGGCAGAGAAGAAATTAATAAATTGCGTTTGAACAATTGGGCCAATTTAATCAATGGGAGTTATATAATCATATAATCATATACATTACATATAACCAAATATTAGGTGTAGTAAAAAGAAATCCATTATTTTTCGCGTATGAGACACAGATTACTAAAGCCATCTATTGAAAAATAATGGATTTCTTTTTACTACACCTAATATATATTTACTAATTATATATTTACTAACCTAATACAAATTTACTAACCTAATACAAATATTTAAAGGACAGTGACAAGATAATTTAACGTAATTTAAGAATAAAAATAAAGCTATCTTTATGTACATGTTTGATATATTATAAATGAAGAATAATGAAAGATAAAATTCATCTTGCAATTAAAAAAAAAAGATTTTAAGTTGAAGATATGCTTTTATTATATTTATACTGCTTTCTTTTTATTCTTTAAATTTTTTCGGTGCGCAAATCCCGAAATTTAATTCAGAATCTCTTTGTCCCTGAATATATTTTTATTCTTTTACAAACAAAATTTTGGTTTTTTACATATAAACGGATTTATAAACTAAATTTCTTTGTAAGCGGGTAAAATCATACACATACATATCAATGTTTTTAGCATTTATTTTTTTGGAACGTCAATATAGCGGTAAGGAAGTATACATAGAAAATATTATGTAAATGATAATATTTATATATCTTAATTAAATCTACAGTGAAATACAACAAAATATTTACAGCACTTGTATTTTCTTAATGAAATTAAAAACATTTATATACAATGGAGAAATACTCTTCACGCTTGTAACACCGGCCTTTCGTGTCTGCCTTCCAATGAATCATTAACAAATGCATAACCAGTGCCACCCTGTAAAATAATAAAATGGGTGTTACTTTTTGTATATGATAGTTACAAACAGTATTTTTCTAATATTGTTTGTAACTACCCTTTGTATACCCTTGTACTATCCGTTGTACTTACCCTTTGTAGGGGGATTATATCAGATGGTGTTAATTTGGAATTATCTAAAGGATTAATCCAGTCCTTTTTTATCAATTTTTCCACACATTCCATTGTAACTACGTCGCCGCTATAAATACAAAACAAATGTTAAATTTAAACACGACAAAATTGTTATTTGCGATTCATGCAAGTTAGAAGATTATTCAAGTAACTTACGTTGTTTTTATCACGGCGCAAGGAACACTGTTACCCAATATATCGTGCGTGATAGGACACATGTATCGCGCCTGTTTAACGATAAGCGATCTCTTATCATCTGGATCCTGGACCACTGTGAATTTTATCGGAATCAAATCCTTTACTTTCAATTGCTTTCCACTGATAGGACAATAAATGGTCTTGTCAGGTTTCTGTAAGGAGATTTCCTTTACTCCTGGTGTCTTCGAGGGTATCCAGAAACTCGGTAGCATCTTATCCTTGCCGTTCTTCATATTAGAAACCGAATTTCCATCCAATGTACTGAGACTGCTTGACACGATGGTTTTCTCACCTTTTAGAAAATTTTGCAACTTTTTCAGTTCCTCGTTGGCTGTCTGTTCTTGCGATTGTTCCTGTAATAAATACAGCGTAAATACATCAATTATTCAAACTGTCTGATAATTTCGATAACGTTTAATAAAAAATAATAAAAGAAATGTATCACACACTGTAGATATATTAGGTGTTGGAATTAATTCGTAGCGTTTTACAAGTGATGGGAAGTACTTTCATTAATGTATTTTTTAATGCTCATGTGAAATAAATAACATTCTTTCATTTAAAAACGCTACGAATTAATTCCAACACCTAATAATATATGGCTTTTGATAGGTTGAAATTTATCATTCATTATATAAAAAAAAAGGGATGTTTTCTATTTAATGATACAAGTTGATATGAACATTCTATCTTTCTTGCAGAGTTAGTAAAAAATATATATTTTAAAAAGTTTAAAACATGCTTAATTGATATTTTTTATAATACTCTTTAAAATATATTTAAGAAAAAATATATTTTATCTTTTTGTCTTAAAAAAGAATTGATCTTTGTCAAACCTGCTTTCTTGGCATTCAATGAGCAATAGAAACAGAACATTTGTGTCGATTTGTGTCACTAAATGAAAAGCACCCATGGAATACGCTACAATACTGGAAGAACGCTCCTGGAATGCAATCTGTGTATTAGACTTAAAGCTCATCTGTAAACTAACCTCTTCCTTTTGCTTCTGCTTCTCATATTCCTTTAGTTTCCTCGTGTATTCTTTTTTTTTAGTCAAGATATATTCCAATATCGCTTCTTTATCAAATAAATAGCCATCCTTCCTGTAACAATAGATTATTGATAGTGAACAAAATATGTAAATGTACAGATATGAGTCACATGTTCATTTTTACCAATGTAGATTAACTTTAATGTTTATAACTAGAAAAAAATAAGAAGTATGTTAAGATATTAGAGATTAAAATTAATAGATTAATTTTTTTATTATGATTTGTTCATGTCATAATAAAGACCTTATAGATCAATAATACTGTCAATCCCAACAAATACTGACTACATTACTCTACATAAAAAAATTTCAAAAATTTTCCTGAATCTCAATAATAAAATTTTATAGAATTCCTAATTTTTAGAGATAAAAAAAGGATCCCTGAAAATTCCAGGTTTTTCAAGTTTTTACAAATAATAAACACCCTGTGCAAGATTTGTGATATAAGATACTTACGTTATTACTGGATTTCTACAGGGTTGTAAAGTCAGGCAACAACAGTCAAAATCTTTGACGGAATCCTTTCCTACCCGTTGAGTATTGGTGCCATAACCTGACGCCGCAGCGTCTTTCTTCTTTTCATGATAAGTATACACTGCACCAGCAGTGCAATTCCTCGCATGCCGCGTCATCGCGATCAAAAGTGATACTTCTCTTTAGAGAAAATATTACTCGTTCTCTTCAATCTTCGAGTTAAGAGCTTCTTGGAGATTTCAAGATTTCCCTTTGCTGATGGAATTTACGTCTTCTCTCCTTGAGGTTATATGATGCCTACCTACAAGAGCTCGTGTTATAGATTCTTATAACGAATATAAAAGATGAATATAGATTTTCACAATATCTAGAAAAATCTATGGCTCGTACTATTTTTTTAGGTTAAGATTGTATCAAGATCATGAAACGCAAATCTGTTTAGTTCTCTATCGCTAATATCAAGTAGAAGCATTATTAAAATGAAAATGCAGAAACACACGAAAAAAAACGAGACTTTTTGACAAAAGGCAAAGAACAAAATTATGCTTACTTGCTTAAAACGAAGAACAGCAAACTCTTACTCATGAATAAAAGCCGTTACGTTCATCTACGATCGAAACGACACCAAGTGAAACTAACTTCAACTAATCTCTTGAGAAAAAAGAAAGAAAGATGAACTGGTGCAAAAGTTTAGCCAAAAAGAACAGACCTATTGTTGGACTTATCGATACTTACAAGTTTTCTTTTTCTCTTCAACGCCCGAATATATATTTATCTCCTTTTAAATGCATACAATTTTAGAGATTTCAACCAACGCGAACAGATCTAACGATTTTAATGAAATAGATTAGAAAACTATGTGGGCACCCCCACCTATACTTCCCATGCTTTTAGAAAGTTGCAAGTATTGTTTCCTTCTAGAATTTTCTAGAATTCCATAGAATGTGATGAAAAAACTGAGAAAAAAATCTGTAGATTGCATCATATCTATCGCAGCTGCTATTATATTATTTCTTGTTTCGAAATCATTATTTTCGAACAGATTAAAAATTATTTAATGCAGTATCGCTCCGATTTTAATATTTTTTATAAAAAATATTTTCTTTAGATTATTCATAAATCTGTGAAGTGTGACGGAAAATAATAGACAAACACCTTTATATTACAGATGCAATTGTGCTATTTCTTTATAAAGATGTGTGAACTGTTATTTTTAGCGTTACTTTTTATAATAATGCTTTAATGATGTTGCAATTTTGTATGACGGTAACGATAAGATTATTACTTATTAAGAATATTACTTTTGAAAAATAACTTGTAACCTTTATGTTTATATAACATTATGTAGAAAATTGATAATGTAGTCATTCCACTTTTAAAAATTTGCGTTTTCGATTCCAAAATTCTATAGAATATAATGAAAAATGTCAAGAGTCTTCTTGCATCATCTATTTTCTTGATATAATTCATTCTAATACTGTCATTTTTAAATAAGTATTATATGCTTTCTACAATAATAAGATATTACTTGAACTTCAAGTCTTAAACTATAAAAAATTTATTAATCATAACTAATCTTTTCATATTCGACTATAATTGCTTCATTTCTATCAAGATTATCAAGATGTTTCTTTCTCAAGATTAAGCTTAAGTAATGACTTATTGTAGAAAGTCCATTAAGAACTATCTTAATATGCATTATTTGCATATTTTTACTGCTTCTAAAAATATGCAAATAACGCTTCTTTTAAACAGCTATTTAAGGCTCCATGAAATGTGATGGAAAAAAACTGAATAAGCATTTTAATTTATATCATAAAAATAATTTTACAGATTATACTGTTTCTCGTTTTAATCCAGATTTTAGAAAATCATTTTAATACCATCATTTTCAAAAGAAACTGTTTATATTAGGTGTTGGAATTAATTCGTAGCGTTTTTTAATGAAAGAATGTTATTTATTTCACATGAGCATTAAAAAATACATTAATGAAAGTACTTCCCATCACTTGTAAAACGCTACGAATTAATTCCAACACCTAATAATATATTGACATCTTGTTCTTAGAAATTTATAAATAAAAAAACAACTACTATATTCTATAAAACGTGATAGAAAAAGACTAAACAAGCATCCTCAATTTACATTTATTGTGTCACAAATGAAATTAGATAAAATAAGATAAAATTAAGTAATACAGTAAAAAAAAAAACATGTGCAATTCCTTGTAAAACTTTAGCAGTTTTGTAAACTGCAATTCTTTATTACAAATGTCACTCTGTACAAATAGAAAAAAATACATGCTCCTATTTACAGTTCAAGTCAATTCAAGTCAACAGACAGTAAGGTGGCGATTCCTTCATGAACGAGAAAAACGAACGCGAATGTAACACGATTACAAAACGCCACCGTCACGCGTTGTTCAATATTCAATGAATAGAAGGAACTGGAAACGGGAAATGAACGAATCGGGAATTTTCATGAACAATTCATTTTTTCCCCCTGTCACCTTTTGCCTCGCTTCCATCAGACGAATCGTCATCATCGTGCCGCTTGTGCTTCTTGCGTTTCTTGCTTTTGGAGCTCTTCTTCTTCCTCTTCTTTCCCTTCTTGTGCTTCTTGTCCTCCTCGCTGGACGACGACGACGAGGATGAGGACGATGACGACGAGGACTCGCTGTCGTTGCTCTCCGAGCTCTCGCGTTTCCTCTTACGCTTCTTCCTAGCCTTCTTTTCCCGCCGTTTTTTCCTCGCCACCCGCAGCTTCTTCCGCAACTCGCGCTCCCGCAGCTCCGTCAACGGGGTGACATAATTCTCGTCGCTGTCCGAGCTCGTGCTGCTCACGTCCAGCACGATCTCCTTGTTGGGATCGATCTTGATAAAGTTGCGACACTGATAGGTTAAGTGTCCGGCGTAGCCGCATTTCTTGCAGGCTGGTCTCACCTGCTCTTTACTCTGCGGAATTAGCCGCGAAAGGACGCCGGGATCCATAATTCCCAGAAGAAGATGAGCACAGATGAGTCACAGACAGATGATTTCGCGACGAATCTTAATCAGTCGGTCTTAACCTTAACCTTCTCTTCGATTGCGAGCATATCGAGAAAGTGACACCAACCACGTTGGAGTTGTATTATTGTGACGATTACTCTGAGTAATAAAAAGGAAATCTCTTCACCTGAAAAGGAAATTTCTAGAAACGAAATCGCGAAAGTGACGAATAACGATTCATTTCGAAAATATTCTTATTATTTTGGATGTTAATTATCGCTAAACGTTGCAATGTTGATGCAAGCAGCAAGTTGCTAGAATGATTTGTGCTTGAAGTTAACAGTCTTTTAATATCCGTGTTATCTACCAATGTAGATTAACTTATTTTTTTTTAATTCTGAGAACCGAGAAAGGATGAGTTATTGAAAATTTATAGATAAATATATCAGTGAGAATTATAAATTATAAAAATTATTTATATTAAACGATAAAAGTTATATTCTAGAAATTTCATTTTATGAAGTGCTTTTACGTTTAGCGTATAAAAAAATAATTATATCCTTCATTTTGCCCACGAATCATCTTTTTTTAATAAGTGTACGTATGTACTTTTTTCTTTTTATATCTTGTCTTTTTATCGCCCGAAATAAAAATTGACGAATTTCGAAAGAAACACATACAAAAAATACATACAGAAAAATGATGTATAAATAAATCAAGTAATTCCTAATAACCATATCTCATTGCTATAACAATCGAATTCGTAATGAATAAAAAGGCGTCATTCTGACATCAGACAATAATAATTAAATAACGTCAGTTTTGCAGGAAAGAGATAAAAAGCAAGAATTCAAGAAATAGGAAGCAAAGAGCCTCACATTCATGAGCATCATTTGCCTTTGTTTAAACGTTTGACAAACGAGGACAAAACGATTTTCGAACATTGTAGATGTGAATCAGACCTCCATCAAGGCCACTTTAATCATCCACATTTAGGGAAAAAACAGTCCCAAGAAATCAGAGAAAACTTCGGCCGACGAACAAGCCAAAGACATTCCCTCACATTTTATGTGTAAACGCACCTAAAATCATCCTCGGCACATCGAGAATAAGGGCTGGACGCTCCAAAAAATGTGGTCGATAACGTGGCGTTATACATAAACGTTATACACCATATACATGTATATGTGTATACACACATATGCATGCACATGAATGCAGACGACGCGCGTCCGCCCCACCTCTTCGAAGAGCGCGGGAGCTATCGCGATGGTTCTAGATCTTCGGAAAATGCCGTCACTTCCGGCGAACCACGCGAGTTACGCGAGCGAGACGACCAGCCAAACCCAAGCGGACGTTTCTCGCTTGGAAAATCGTTCGCGTCTCGACGCGTCAATTTCTTCGATAATTTTTCCGACCCACGTAACTCGTGGTGGTAGACGAGATTTCCACTCGATCCCGCTCGCGGAACGCTCGCTTGATAGAAGGTTCTAGAAGCCGGGCGAACTTCCGTCGTCGGCGCCTTCTAGAATATTCGTATTCGACGTGCTCGTTTAAAAGCGACGTCGCGCGCTGCGAGCGAGTCATTCGTCACAGAGCTCTTGTGTTAGACGGGTGATAGCTATCGGTGATTTATTTTTTGCGCATTGTGTGCCCTAATTTCGGACTACGATCTCTAACGACTGCTTGCAATACTTACATTCGGCGTTTTCCCAGTTGAATTTGATTTTGTGGAAAAATGCCTGAAGATGTAAGCATGACGGACGCCGGCGAGGTGGAAACCTTCGCCTTCCAGGCCGAGATCGCTCAGTTGATGAGCTTGATCATCAACACCTTTTACTCGAACAAGGAGATTTTCATCCGAGAATTGATCTCGAACTCGTCCGATGTAAGTATCTTAGGTTATCGTTAATTAACCTCGTTAATTTTCGTATAGCCATGTTCGGAAGTTTCAAGCGTTCAAGCAAAAGAATAATTAAAAATTTATTTTTTTTTTTTTTTACGTGGATATAAAATAATTAAAAATTGGAAAAACGGAATTTGAGCAACGATTTTCTTTTTCGGGATATATATTTTATATACGAAAATACACAAAGGTACAAAAATACAAGAAAATTAGAGGCGTTACACGAAATATTTACTTTATTTTATCCTTGAATTTGTTGCTTTTAACTAAATTTGTGTTTGACGATTTGTCTTTTTTATTTTTTTCCTTCAATATGGAGGAAAAATGGGAAGATGATCTGTGCTGAGAGAGAGAGAGAGAGAGAGAGAGAGATCAAATAAAAAAATCAAGCCTAAATAATAAAATGAAGAATATTTCGTATAATTCTTCTAATTTTTCTATATTTTAATATCAAAAAAATTTTTGTACATATTTGTTTTTGTCTAAAAGATACATAGAATATTATCAATTTTTATTTAATTGTAAATTATTAAAGAAAAAGAACAATGGAAATTGAGATATGTTAAAGTTAGGAATACTCTGTAATTACATTTAACAAATTCATGTGAGTAATGGAGGTTAAAAAAATTTAGATGTTTACTGCAAATTGTGTCGATCTCATTTGAGACCTCTAAATATTTATTAATTTTTTAAATATTTTTTCAGATTTAAAATTTTTTTAATATCATTTCTATGTGATATATATAACGTTTTCTAATTTTTCTTTTTGTTACGTTTGCAAATTTATAGAAATGAAATTAATAATTGCATGAATTTGGAAATAAATTAGAAACAATTGAGTCTTGTTGATGGTGCGATATTAAATCTTTTATGAATTTTTAGGCGTTGGACAAAATTCGATATGAATCTCTCACAGATCCATCCAAGCTGGACACTTGCAAGGAATTGTTTATTAAGATTGTACCGAACAAGAACGACCGTACCCTGACGATCCTTGATTCGTAAGTATTGATTTTTTATAGAAATAGGCTTGTTTCCAATTAAAACTTATGCCATTCATCTTTTTCTCTCTACATTAGAAAGAAAACAAGAAAAAAATGAATGATGCAAGAAATGCATTAATTTAATTTTTGTTTCTATCAATGTTAAATTTTCATCTCGGTTCAACTTACTCTTTATCTTTTTCTAATTCTTAGAAGTAGAGAAAGATGAAGAGTGAGTTAAACTGAGATTAAAGTTAATTTACATTGGTGAAAAGGGACAGATCTAATATATACATGTGATATATATATATATATATATATATATATATATATACTATATAATAGTTGTCTTTAAATTGAATTTTCTTTACAGTGGTATTGGCATGACTAAAGCCGATCTTGTAAATAACCTGGGTACCATTGCCAAATCCGGTACAAAGGCATTCATGGAAGCTCTGCAAGCAGGTGCTGATATCTCCATGATTGGACAGTTTGGTGTAGGTTTCTATTCGGCGTATCTCGTGGCCGACAAAGTCATCGTGATCTCCAAACACAATGACGACGAACAATATCTGTGGGAATCTTCCGCTGGTGGTTCATTCACGGTTCGTCCCGACAATGGTGAACCGATCGGACGGGGCACCAAGATCATTCTTCATATTAAGGAGGATCAAACAGAATATCTGGAAGAGTCTAAGATCAAAGAAATCGTCAAAAAGCATTCGCAGTTCATCGGCTATCCTATCAAGCTCGTTGTCGAGAAGGAACGTGACAAGGAACTGAGCGAGGACGAGGAGGAAGAGGAAGAGAAAAAGGAAGAAGAAAAGACAGAGGATGATAAACCCAAGATCGAAGATGTCGGCGAGGATGAAGAGGAGGATAAGCCTAAGGAAGAGAAGAAAAAGAAAAAGAAGACCATCAAGGAAAAGTACACTGAAGATGAGGAGTTGAACAAGACAAAACCGATTTGGACGAGAAATCCGGACGACATCACGCAAGAAGAGTATGGCGAATTCTACAAGAGCTTGACTAACGATTGGGAAGACCACTTGGCTGTGAAACACTTCTCCGTGGAAGGACAGTTGGAATTCAGAGCGCTGCTATTCATTCCACGTCGTGCGCCCTTCGATCTGTTTGAGAATAAGAAGAGAAAGAACAATATTAAATTATATGTTCGTCGTGTTTTTATCATGGACAACTGCGAAGACCTGATTCCGGAATATCTAAACTTTATCAAGGGCGTCGTAGACAGCGAGGATCTGCCTCTTAACATTTCTCGTGAGATGCTGCAACAGAATAAGATTCTGAAGGTTATTAGGAAGAATCTTGTCAAGAAGTGCTTAGAGCTCTTCGAGGAATTGTCGGAAGACAAGGAAAACTACAAGAAGTGCTACGAGCAATTCAGCAAGAATCTGAAATTAGGTATTCATGAGGACAGTCAGAACAGAAAGAAACTCTCAGAGTTGCTCCGCTATCACACTTCTGCGTCCGGCGATGAGATGTGCTCACTTAAAGATTACGTTGGTAGAATGAAGGAGAACCAGAAGCACGTCTACTACATCACTGGCGAGAGCAGGGAACAGGTAGCCAACAGCTCGTTCGTAGAACGCGTGAAGAAGCGTGGCTTCGAGGTCGTGTACATGACTGAGCCCATTGACGAGTACGTTGTCCAACAACTGAAAGAATTCGACGGAAAGCAGCTAGTGTCCGTTACAAAGGAGGGCTTGGAACTTCCGGAAGATGAGGATGAGAAGAAGAAGCGTGAGGAAGACAAGGCCAAGTTCGAGAGCCTCTGTAAAGTTATGAAAGACATTTTAGATAAGAAGGTGGAGAAAGTTGTAGTATCCAATAGGTTGGTTGACTCTCCTTGCTGTATCGTCACATCGCAGTATGGTTGGACGGCGAACATGGAGAGAATCATGAAGGCGCAAGCACTTCGAGACACATCCACCATGGGATATATGGCCGCGAAAAAGCACCTCGAAATTAATCCCGATCATCCTATCATGGAGAACTTGAGACAAAAGGCTGAGGCGGACAAACACGATAAGTCGGTGAAAGATCTAGTCATGCTGCTCTTCGAGACTGCACTCTTGTCATCCGGTTTTGCCCTCGAAGACCCGCAGGTGCATGCTTCCAGAATATATAGAATGATCAAGCTAGGTCTGGGTTTTGACGACGAGGACACGTCGAACGCAGAGGACGAGAAGATGGACATGGAAGTGCCCACGTTGGAGGGTGACTCAGAGGAAGCGTCGAGAATGGAAGAAGTAGATTAAACTGCGAATTAAATTTTCGATAAGATATAATAATTGTTGAGAAAAAAAAACAGAATTAAAGGATTTCTGTAAAATCGATACAGCGAACACAACACCTAATTCTGTCGGCACTGAAATGAGAAAACCTTATAAGAGCTGCTCGAATATTTAAAAAAAAAAAAGAAAAAGAAAATAGTCTCTCGCTTTTTACGGATCTAAGAAAGTCTTTGGATTCGATATTATATTCACAACAAGTGAATATATTATTTTACTACGCATAATGTTTTTACTTTTATTCTACAATTAATTTAAGGTATCCAATGGAATGATGTAAGTGAAAAATGCAAAATATAAAAAAAATGTTAATACGAGATGAATGACAAAGCACGGTACGTAAAATGTAAAAGAATGAATATTTCGATGAAATTAAACGGTTTGTATGAGACACAACAAGTGAATATAATGTCGAAATCCAAATATCGAATCCAAAGACTTTCTTAGATCCATGAAAACGGAGATTGTTTTCTTTTTTCTTTTTTTTTTAATATTCGTGCAACTTGTAAGGTTTTCTCATTTCAGTGCTAACAGAATTAATGTTGTGTTCACTGTACTGATCGCTGTATCGATTTTACAGAAATCCTTTAATTCTATTTTCTTTTTTTTTTTAAGGTTTTCTCAACAAATGTTTAATTTAGCATACGTATCTCATACACAATTCTATCGACAAGCTTACCGTTTGATTTCATCGAAACGTTCATTCTTTTACATTTTATATATCATGTTTTCATCTTGCATTAACATTTTTTTTATACTTTGCGTTTTTCACTTACATCATTCCATCGGATACCTTAAATTAATTGTAGAATAAAGGTAAAAACATTATGCGCAGTAAAATAAAAGAAATCGCATTTAATCGAGCTCAAAGTATTTTCACCCATATGTTCCTATTAATCCTTGATCTCAAGAAATTATAATTTACTATTCTGTAATAATCTCGGAAAGAATAAACAATGTTTGATAAAAATAATTAAATTTGTAATCACTAATTCATTTTTGTAAAGTCATTCATCTAAGCTTTTCATACTAATACAATTTTAAAAAAGTATATATGCAAGTATTAGTCATTTGCTTCTTCAATGTTATTTGTTGCATGGATTATTCTCGAAGGAAATATTAAATTTCGATACATAAATTTAATAAATTTAAGCCCAGTTGCACCAACGTTACTTTGACTTTAAACAGGGCTTAAAACTGTCTCTTGTCTCTCTTTCGCTTTAAAACGAGACAGAGAGAGTTTAAGCCTCGCTTAAAGTCAAAGTAACGTTGGTGTAATCGGACCTTAGCGACGAATTTAGAATCTCTCCATTTTTTCAGCGAAAATATTAATCTTGTAATTTAAACGATTACTATTATCCTATAACTAAATTACTAATGTTAATTGAATTTAAGATAAAAATTAATGATAAAAAGAATACTTTAAATAATTGATAAAAGCAAATATAAATTATATCTTTAGTTTATTTTTTTAAAACAGTTGATTAAACTAATACACACACACACAAATTAATGATATATACATAGAAGATATACATAGAAGAACACTTTAAATAATATTTGATAAAATTAAATAATTGAATTATGTTTTCAATTTATTTTTTAAAACTAAATTTTTTTATATTAATAGAATATTAAAAAATCGCAAATATCCAAATATTAATCATTTGTTAATATTGTTTAAATTCACATATATGAGATATTTCTGAATAAACATATTAAATTTTAATAAATCCATAGCAATAAATTAGAATCGATCATATTTTCTCAATGAAAACATCACACTGATTCAGCTATTCACATTAATTAAGTCTAAGTTAGAAATTCATGATATTAATTACATTAACATCCGAATGCTAACAAATATATCTGCTGTACTCACTTTGTAGATGAGTTGTGTGCGTAACGAATCTAAATTCTAAGAAATAAAGCAAAAACCGTGCAATAAAGTCTATTTCATCGGAGGATATTAAAAATTTAACAAATAAATTATTTTATCTATTTCATAGTATGTGTTAATATTTAGTTAATATTTAGTGGTTGACGCGCGGCTTTGGAATTTTTAATGCCGAAAGGTGAACGGGTGGCACGTCACAATTATTCATAGTCATCCCATGGTCATTCCATTCTCGAAGCTCGTACAGGCAGATATCCATGTCGCTCTTCTTCACATTTTTTTTTTAAACATCCCAGACACAAAATACTAAAAGATAACAAAGAGATTTTTTTTTAATTTGTCTTTTCGACAAAGCGAAAAGATGTTTAAAAGATGACGAAAAGACATCATTTTCAGATCGTCTTTTCAGTAAGACGAAAAGATGTCTATAGATGTCTATTGTTTGTTTTATCTTTCGAAAGCTGCTCGGGGTCGCTCTGAATGAACCCAGTGTACCTGAAATGTAGGATTTATACTATGTATGACATTCGTCATTCATCGTAATTAGGCCTTTTCTACAATAGAATCATAAACGGTAAGAAATTAACTAATCCTATCGATTATTCTTCTCACACTTAACTGTGATTGGCCAATTTTTTATGGCTTACGACCTGCGACTCTATTGTAGAATAGGTAGTAACAATTAATGTAAGATGTCGTATGACGGATGTCGTAGTGTAAATCTTATATTTCAAGTATAGTATATTTCGTCTATAGTACACATGTGATAGTGATAGTGAATTTTAGGACACAGTTGGTATATATTGGGTCATCTAAAAAGTATCCGCGGTTTTTTATCACTAGATGTGTTGACCATCAACACACATCTAGTGACAAAAAACCGTGGATACTTTTTAGATGACCCAATATTACATACAATACATTACATCATATGTATGTACATATTGATCCTTCGTCAAAGATATCTTCTTTCTCAATTTTTTAAGGAAATACATATACATCATTACTTCTGTGATTCTGCTATAAATTCCGAATACGATATATTGGGTCATCTAAAAAGTATCCGCGGTTTTTTATCACTAGATGTGTTGACCATCAACACCATCTAGTGACAAAAAACCACGGATACTTTTTAGATGACCCAATATTTCAATTCTAATTTTCCTCCCGTTCGCGCTGAATGAGCAAAGTTCCGCATTGGTGCCGCCATTGTGAGGGCATAGTGTACCAATCACGCGGAATCCTCCAGTGTCCAGACTCTCTTCTTCTAAGGACTCTAGAATAGTACAAAATACGAAAGACGGAAATCGGGATATCAAGAGGTCTATTTTTTATTACTGCACTCGGAACCAATGCAATAAGTTAAAGTGAAACAAACGTATACTTGTTTCAACTTATTGCACTGTGTGTACCAGTTCAGAAAGTGCAGCAATAAAAAACAGACTTATGGTATCAATCATAAAACTTTTTTTCTAGGATGAAAAGTGAAAAATTTCTCCATTAACTTCAATGGTTAAAATTTTCACTTTTCCTAGGGATAAAGTTTCACGATTGGTACCCTGGTGTCATGGTGCCGACTGCCAAGTGGACCGCACCCCAAGACGGACCAAGAAACCACTCTCATGCGCGCCAATTCGAAGGCGGAGCATAGAGTGCGACACTGTGTCGCGCGGCGTGTTGTCGCGTGTTGCCACATCACCATCGCGCCTAAGCGCATTTCGTAGCGTGCCTCCTTCGGTGTGTAGATCGCGCTCGCGCCGATCGCAGGTCACTTCGTAAAGTCGTAATAGCCGCGATTATACGTGGAAAGGAAACGTGAGAGAGCCCTGGGTTGCTTGTCTCTGCCCCGCGTACGCCAGCCAACATGACAACTCGTCATTTCTGAGTTCGCAGTCCTCACTCAAGAGAGAGAAAGAGAGAGAGAGAGAGAGAGTGAAAAAGACTATTCTTTCTTTTTTTCCTCCCAAACGCACCACGAGGAACGATAAATTGCGGAGTCACGAACACAGCTGCTATCGAACCTGCGACCTAAGAGAGTGCACGTGCTGATCACTGGAACGAGCGCACCGATCTTCTCGTTCGAGGACCATCGCGCGGCATCATGAGTGCACCTCAGGCACCAGTAAAACTGCGCAACGGGGTGGTTAAGCAGGTGAGGAATCGGACGCCACCGGATCTTTCTCGTGGCTCTCGCTATTTGTGCCGTGCCGACTCAACTGTTGAGTGTTGATCCTCTGATCGCTCATCCAGTTGGCAAGAACGGCACCGTAGAACATATGGTTGCAATCTGGAGTATTATTGCAGCAGCCTGCCATGTGATGCTTCCTAAAATTTTTTAGATATGCATCACGTTATTGAGAACGTTTTCACTGCCCTCTTTCTTTTTAATTTATTCATTGTTGAACGACGAGAGTTTGTTGCTGGAAAGTTCTATGAAAGATATTAGCAATTGCGTAACTGGTACTCCAAAATATGATGCTGGATATTTTAGGATACTTAAAATTTTCTCACGCTGCAAAATTTTATTCTAAGAATAACATTAAATATTTGTTGCATTTATGTTTTCACTTTGCATTTATATTTTTACTATCCCCTTACTTTTCAATTTATTTCTTGTTGAGTGTTATGATTTAGGACGTTTTTGAAAAGATATTAACAACTGCGTAATTTTAATCTAAGATATAATATGGTGTTGGATATTGTGGGATATTTTAAGATTTTTCATACTGTAAAATTTTTATTCTAAAGATAATCGTCAGATATTCGTCATGTTAATGAAAATATTTTCATTCTCTTGCTTTTTGATTTATTTCTCTATTAAGAGTAAGATTGTGAATCTTATCAGGAAGTTCTATGAAAGATTAGCAGTTGAGCAATTAGTGTTTTAATTAATCTGAGATATATAGTGCTGGATATTTTAGGATTTTGCTTTCTCATGTTGCAACATGTTAATTCTAAAGGTGACAAATTCTTCATATTAATGAGAATGTCTTTACCGTCCTTGCTTTTTAATTTATTTCTCATTGAGAGTGTTAAGATTTAAAAAGTTCTATGAAAAGTATTAATAATTATTGTATTTGATATTCTAATCTGAAATATAATGTTGTACTGGATATTTTGGGATACTTTGAACTTTCTCTACAAAATTTTAAAGGTACAAATTCTAAAAGTAATAGATATTTTTTATGTTAATGAGAATATTTTTACTGTTTTTTTGCTTTTTAATTTTATTCCTTGTTGACAGGAGTTTGTTCAATTTAGAAAAGATATTAATATTTTTATGAAAATTACATAAGAAATTAGCAATTCTATGAAAGCTATTAGCAATTTTGTAATTTGTCAAGTATTTTGTATAAAATCTAAGATATAATGTGATACTCTGAATATTTAGGAATACTTTAAGCTTTCTCACACTGCAAAATTTTAATTCTATAGGTGACATCGGGAGATACCGTTGTTATCCGCGGACAACCTATGGGTGGTCCTCCACCTGAAATGACAATTACTCTGTGCAACATTACAGCTCCAAAATTAGAACGTTGGAAAGGAAATGACAGGTACGTAAAATGCATATTCATATACTATACAAAATTATTACTTGTAAAGATTTTTCTTGATTATTTTTTAGTTTTTGGACTAAGCAGAGATTTATATAAGTTTATTGATAATAATTTAATTATATAAAATTAAAACAATTTACGTATTTATAGCACGGATGAAACCAAAGATGAGCCGTACGCTTGGGAAGCAAGAGAATTCCTACGTCGAAAGTTGATTGGCCAAGATGTTACTTTTGCAACTGAAAAGTCGATCAACACTGCCAGAACATATGGAACTGTCTGGTTAGGGAAAGGTATTTATTTGTGATACACCATACATTTACTAAAACTTGGAAAATCGGCTGCGTTCAACAGAAAAAGCAGATTTACAACTGTCATAAACTTTTGTATAATTATAGTATG